ATCAATATTACCTCCTGCACTCTTTAAGCTTTTTTTTTTTGCATTATTATATATTTTCCCTTTTTAGACATAAAAAGTCACTTCTGCAGCCACTTTAGATTTATTGTATTGTGTCCTCTGATAATGTTAGTGAGAAACATAAGCTTTCTCTCAGAGAAATATATCCCTTGGCCCCTGCAAAGCAGATAGAAAATCTGTTGGATGAGAAAAAAAAGAGAAGGAAAGTGCACCACAATTTCCAGAAGGAAATCCTTTTTTCCTCCCTCTTCACTTCTTTTCTTCTATTCTTGAAACAAAGCTAGACCAAGGTGATCCATTTTCCCTGGTTTTATTGCCAGTGATTACATACATTCGGAAGTAAGAATCTTCTCTGAAGCATGCAGCTTCTTCATAATATCCTGTTGCTGTTGGATTTGGTTTTTAGAGGTGAGCGTGTGATTCACTTTTGATTCTCTATTAACTTTGGAATCCATACTTATTCAAACGTGTATGTATACATCTTGCTAGGCAAAAAGGATTGAGGGTGATTGGGAAACAGGTTTTCAGGAGCACCCGGTATTAACCTGCAAATTCCCAGGCCCTGTAATCAGTGCCCAGAAAGGTAGCGGGACTGCTGTGTACATTTATACCTGACTAACAGGCAGGCAGAGCCCTGGTGGTGCAGTGGTTAAGAGCTCACTGCTAACCAAAAGGATGGCAGTTCAAATCTACTAGCTGCTCCTTGGAAAATCTGTGAGGCAGTTCTCCTTTGTCCTGTAGGATCTCTATGAGTTGGAATCGACTTGACGGCCACGGTTTGGTCATTTATTTAGCAGGCAGGCGCCTCACCAGAGTCTCCGGCAATATCAGGAGTTAAGAGAGTATAACATTCCCCACCGCCTGAGAATGGCAAAGAGGAGATTTCTCAGTTATGGTGGAACCCTCACTTCACAGGGGTGTCTCATGGCCAGCCAGTAGGACCCTGTGAGGATTTAGGGGTGGAGAGGACCCAGAAGCTGTACCTCCAACTCGTACCATGCTGCGTTTTCTATTTGTGGCCCTGTCTGTGATGCTAAATATCTGAATATTTGTCATGAAGTATCTTTAAGTCTTTGTGTTAGCAGCTGTCACTCACTGTCTAGCTGTGATGCTTCACAAGTGGAACTTAATATCCTCCTTTTATCTGCGGTAGTATCCGATGTAAATGTATTTATCCAGTATTTTATTCATGAGGTTAACTCAATTTAGTTTTTATTTTGTTAATCTTTGACTATATTTAAAACTTAGCCATCCGAAGTCATAAGGGCTAGCTTATTCTGAATAATTTGAGCGTTCCTGACCACTGAGGTTAAACATCAAAACTTAAAAAAAAAAAAAAAAATTAGCAATTTTAGATGGGAAATTTTCTAAAACATACTTTGATATCTACTGCTTTTTAAACAGAGCTTGCTGAACGTAAATTGCAGTGACTTTTGGCCATGATTAAGAACAATTACTCACACAAGCTATAATACTGTGTTGCCCTTAGGGCTGTACAGAGTACCTACTACTGTTCCAAATTCAATTCAATATGAAGTGCCCCCAGATTATTGTGTCTTTTTACTTCCTATAATTTTGCTTACTTCCTCTCAGGTAATCAGTTTTTACAGCTTGCTCTATTACCTATGTTCCCGCTTAAAACAACCCCTCTCCTCTTATAAACCACTGATTTCATTCTCTTGTAGACTTAGTAAGTAGATAACCAAGTATATTAGAACTGTGGGTAAGTGAAGAGGTAAAGGAAATTTCTGCGTAAGGACTTGAGACACGTTCCCATTAAAAAATAATAATAACAAGTATGAGGTTTAGTGCATGGATTTTGCTTGTTCAGAGGACTGTAAAGCTTTTTCTTATTTTAGGATTGTTTCTATTTTCCAAATCCTAATGTACTAATGTGTTATTGTTGTGTGCCATTGAGTCGATTCTGACTCATAGTGACCCCATGGGACAGAGCAGCACTGTCCCATAGGGTTTTCTTGGCTGTAATCTTTACGGGAGCAGATCACCTGGTCTTTCTCTCTCGGATCCCCTGGGTGGGTTTGAACCGCCAGCCTTTCAGTTAGCAGCTGAGCGCTTGACTAAATTTAAAATAGTCTCATTTTTTATAAGGCATCTCCTCTTATCTGGAGGTCTTCCCTCTTACTTGGAATTCATCAGTAAGTATTTATTAAGTGCCATGTACCCCTAAATGTTGATGGTCATTATGGGGGATAGAAAAAGTGGCCTAATAAATTGAGTTTGTTCTCCAGAAGCCTTTAGTCTTGCTGGGGAAACCTTAGATATTCATAGCATCCAACAAGGAATCCATGATAGGTGTTTATCAGTCACTAAAAGTGGTCTAGGGGCCCCGGTGGTGCTAACCGAAAGGTTGGTGGTCCATAAAGATTTACTGCCTTGGAACCCCAATGTGGCAGTTCTTCTCTGTCCTGTAGGGTCACTATGAGTTAGAATTGACTCAGTGACAACAGGTTTGGTTTTGGGTTTTGGAAAAGTGGTCTATGGGAGAGTGTGTGGAGAGCCTTAAAGCTGTTAACTTTGCTTCAGCATTAGGAAGTCAATCTTTGGCATGGAACTGGCTATTTTTATCCTGTGGTTTGTGAGTTACCTGGGAATCTCTGGTTTTGTGGAGTGTCTGTTAAAAATTTCAAGTATCTTTATAATAACTGGAGCCCTGGTATGCTGTGGTTAAGAAGAGCTTGACTGCTAACCAAAAGGTTGGCAGTTCAAATCCACCAACTGCTCCTTGGAAACCCTATGGGGCAGTTCTACTCTGTCCTAATAGGGTCACTATGAGTCGGAATCGACTCGACAGCAACAGCTTTGGTTTGGTTTTTGGGTGGTAATGACTTTCAAATTGTAGTTTTGCTAACACAGTATTGGGCAGTTAACTTCACTGTATGCATGGTCACAGACCAGGTAGGTTCTCCTTGCCCCAGCTCTTTTTCTGTCTGCTTGTTTTTGGGTAGAAGGGGAGGCATGCATAAGTTATGACTGAGATCTGAGAGGAGCTTATAAATCAGTTTAAATTTATTGCCATTAATGTGTAGAAAACACCAAGCACAGGTGAGTGCGTTGCTATCTGCTAGGACAAGAACCATGAGTTGCCGTTTGCATCCTTCTTTCCTTGTATCATACTCTTCCTTGGAATTCATTGTTAAATTGTCTAAACTCTAAATGAGTTTCCCTGATAGAACAAGGTACCCAGAGAAGTTTGATCCTCCTGCTCTAAAGAAGTATCTTCAAGATTGAAATAGACCATTATCTTAACTAAATAGGAGCAGAGGGTTTGGGAACCAGATTTTTTTACCTCCCTTCCAGCTATGTCTTTTAAATTACGTTTCCTGGATATTGTGTACTTTTTGTTGTTATTATTATAAAAGATACAGGGAACTCTATGCCTAATCTACCAGCAGCGTACCTGTGATCATAGTGTTAAATATTGCTCTTCAGAGTTTTGTGTGTTTCTTAAATTGTAAGTGAGAAAAAAAAATGTTTTGAATTACATTAATGCTGTGATTAAAAGTAATAATAGCTCCATTGAAAGTCTTGAAATGATAGTTTAAAGGAAGTTCACCTGAGGATGCCCTAATCAATTGTATTATGTTCATTTTGAAAAAGAAGTATTGCAGGCCTTTATTGATGTCGTCTGTTAATTCTAGACCATAGTACTCAGTTACTCAATATGAGAGTACATGAAATGAAATTCTCTTCTTAAAATGCATTTTAACAATTTTTTCAGGGAAGACAAAATCCATATTGTGGTCAGCTGAAAACTAGTTGATCTATTTATGGCTTTACCACAGAGATGATATGATTTTTAGCTCTTTTGTTAATTATTCAGATATACATTGTATCTGTTAGGATGTTCTGGCTTCAAGTACTGGGAATCCTTTAACTCAGATTGGCTAAAACATAAGGAAATTGTTTTCTGTTACAGGGAGTCCAGAGGTAGGGGAGACTCTGGGCATGGTGTATCAGGATTTCAGCCCCCCTTCTCTGCTCTTCTATTAGTTCAGCTCTCCTGTCTTTTCCAGTATTTTGCCTTTATCCCTGAGCTGGTAAAGAGATGGCTACAAAAGTTGTAGGCCTCTGTGCTTGTTACACAGTGCTGCCGTACAAATTACCACAAACTACGTAGCTTCAAATAACAGAAATTTATTGTCTCAGTTCTAGAGGTTAGAAGTCTGAAATCCAGGTGTGGGCCAGGCTGCGTTCCCTTTGAAGGATCTAGGGGAAGAATACCTACTTCCTTGCCTTTCCAGCTTCTGGTAGCTCCAAGACGTTCGTTCCTCTGCTTGTAACTGCATCACTCCAATCTCTGTCTCCAGTTTCACATGGCCTTCTCTTCCTTCTCTCTCTTCCTCTGCATGTCTCAAATCTCCTTCTACCTTGCTCTTATTAGGACACACCTATTGTTGGATTTAGGACCCTGAATAATCCAGGATAATCTCACCTTGAGATCCTTAACACCTGCAAAGACCCTTTCTCCAAATAAGTTTAACATTCCAGGTTCCAGGGATTTGTTGTGAACTTATTTGGGGGGAGGGCAGTATTCAACCCACTACAGCATCCTATCCAAAATCAAAGTCTACAAAGGATCAAAGAGAAATGTCTCTTCCTGTGCCTCCTTAACAATCCCCTCTGCCCACCACCCCATTGTTTCCCTCTCAACAGACCTCCCTTAGCATCTCATTGTGAGAATTGGGTCACATGTCCTTTCTTAAATCAGCCACTGGCAAGGGGAATGGCATTGTGACAACCGACTTAGAATAATTATTTGGGGTGAAGATGGATGTTGGTGAGACAACTGCAATGTTCACCACAAGTATTATCACGTAATAGTTTTAATAAATACTTCTAAAGCCTATGGGTCAGGAAAAGAGCCTGCTGAATTATAAAGAATGTACATAAAAGCTCTTAGGTACAAGTTTGGGTTATCTCAAATGTACCATGTTAATATCTGATCTGTGTCTTTCTCTTAGTGTTGTATGGGAGCCAATGGGAGATGGGAAGAAAATCATTTCATTGGCTGATAACCATATACTGCTGTGGGATTTACAAGAAAGCTCCAGCAAAGCTGTGGTAAGTACTAAGAATCACAAGTTTTTTGTAGGTTTTTTTTTTTTTTTAATTGAACCTTAGGCTGAATTCAGCATACCCTTCTTGATCCATAATTTTAACACTAATTATGAAATAACAAATGAATAGACTGAATCGTTAGTCAAAGAACTGAGTGAAATCAATCCTGGACTTGGGCCTCAGGGCTGTGCACAAACATTTCACAGAGTCTTAGAGTTGACATAACTCCTAGGAGAAAGTTCAAGAGCATGTTCTTCTGTTTCAAGTATATTATCTTTTTAATGAATGGGTTTTTAAAGTAGATTTGGTTAAAATAATCACTTTTAAGTAGGAGCAGTTATAAAATATTCATTTAATAGTACTGGCTAGCTCTTTTAATGTAATTGCATGGATTTGTACAACTAATGACTGTGACCTGGTGTCCTTTAAGTCTGTCTTCCTTTCACTCACATTTATATAAATAAACCTGAAATCCCATATAAATGTATATACACACAGTAAAACCTGTGTAAGGTGGAAACCTGTCAGAGAAGGAAAATTCAAATATTTTCCAGTAATAGAGAGTGATAGAAAAGTGGTAATACAGCCCCTGTCAAAGGCGGAAAACTTGAGAGACCCAGAAAAACAAGGCCGTCCTGTTGAGTTCCTGCTCTCACAGGTTTCAGTGTAAATACATATATTTTTTTTTTTTTCTTTTTATTTTCAGAACATATCAGCCATCCTATAGTTTCTATATATGTGGTCCTATGACTCTTCCATGTGGCAGTCTACATACAGCTCAACTGTCAGTATCCAACTACCAGTGGAAGGAATAGCTTGTTGTTCCCATCTAATTCCTGTCTAAAAGATTATGGCTTTCTCAATAGAGCTTGTTTATTTTCAGATCTTGTTTACCATTTAACACTTACTTTCTTTGGAACCAGTTTTGTTTTCAAATATTCATCGCTTTGAATACTTTAGCTTTCATAGAGCAAATATTCTTACTGATTAGTATATATTTGTTCATACTTGATTGTAGTTTTCATGCATCCATAATCTTCTTGCATTTGTGTATGTCAAAGTAATAACTTTAGAGAGCAAAATCAACCATAAATATTTTGAAATGATAGAACCTATAATGTTATTTAGGAGGTTGAGTGGCACAAACGGGTAAGTGCTCGACTACTAGCTGAAGGGTTGGCTGTTCGAACCCACCCAGAGATGCCTCGAAAGACAGGCTTGGTGATCTACTTCTAAAAAATCACCTGTTGAGCAGTTCTACGCTGTACACATGGGGCCGCCGTGAGTCAGAATCAACTCTACCACACCTAACAACAACAACACAATGTCATTTGTACCTAGGGAGGCCAAATTGCCTAAATGTTGTCAAAAGGAAATGGAAAGCATAACCTATTGGATGCATTTCTGTAGCGAAGATTCTCATATTTACTTGTTTCTATGATGCTTATATGGAGTCCCTGGGTGGTGCAAATGGTTAATACAGCTGCTAACAGAAAGGTATGAGGTTAGATTCTACCTAGAGGCACCTTGC